GATAGATAGATAGATAGATAGATAGATAGATAGATAGATAGATAGATAGATGCATGCATGCATGCTAGGGAAATGGCTTAATAATTAAAAGCCTCTTAAGAGGACACAGGTTCAGTTCTCAGCACCATGTCATGCCTGACAACTCAACCAAAACTACCAGGTAACTCCAGGTCTCAGCTTGTTAGGAACAGTGAGTACAAGCTTAAGCAACCATACCTAGATCAGTACTGAGGATCTTTTAAAAAGTAAATGGCCAGTCCCTCTACCACAAATTCTGAATCAGTGTGAGATAACCAGAGGAAATCCAAACCCCCCCCTTTTTTTTTTAATTTTTAAAAAGTTCCTAGGGAGCTGGGCATGACAGCAATTGCTTTAATCCTAATACACAGGAGAGACAGGAAGGTCTATATGAGTTCCAAGATAGCCAGGGATATGTAGTAAGACTGTCTCAAAAACAAAAAACAAACAAAATTTCCTAGGTTAAAGCCAGACATGGTGGTACATAATGCCAACACTCAGGGGGTAGAGACAGAAGGGTCAGAAGTCAAGTCATCCTTGCTACAAAGTAAATGAGGCCAGTCTGAGCTACTTGAGACCCTAATCTCAAAACAAAGGGCAGGTGGGGGGGGGGAAGCGGGGAAGAGATAGAGATAGAGAGATGGCTCAGCAGTTAGGAACACTGACTGCTCTTCCAGAAGATGTGGATTCAATGCCAGCAGCCAGGTGGCAGCTCACAGCTATCTACAACTCTAGCTCAAAGGGCTCTGATGCCCTCTTCTGGCCTTCATGAGCACCAGGCACATACATAGTGCAGACATACATGCAGGCAAAATACTAGCACACATAAAATAAAAATAAAACTTTTCTTTTTTTTAATTTTTATTTTTTATATTAATTACAGTTTATTTACTTTGTATCCCAGCTGTAGCCCCCTCCCTAAAACTTTTCTTAAGAGAAGAAAAATACTGTTTACCAAGAACCTGTCTCCTGCATTAAACAATCTTTTAGAAATGGCTGTGTCCAGCAAAATTATGGAAAAAAGCAACTGTACAGTAGGGGCCCACCTACCTCATATTTTCTGTAGTTTACCAGCAAAGCCAAGAGGACAACAGCATCATAACCATGCTCTCTACGACTTGGGGGATGGGACAATATCTGTAACAAGAGGCAGTGTATAACTCCTAAGTGTTAAGTCCTGGTTCCTGGGAAGGTAGAACATTTTAAGTGCAAAATCATCAGGAAGTTGACCTACCTGTAAAATTGCTTCAAATATACTGTTGATCATTACGTACTCCAGGATAGTGTTCTGACTGATGTTGTCTGTAACCTGAATGCAATGAAAGCTGTTTATGGCCTGCAAGGCACCCATTATCCCATGTGTATCTCCTACCCTAGCATCTCAGTGAAACAGAAATGTTAAAGCAAAGAGCAGGCAAAGATATCCCAAGAATCAGAACACCATAAATCATTTTCAACCAATGAAAAGAAAAAAAAAAAAAATCAGACAATCCAAAAGATGGTAGTTCTCCTAGAATAGACCTTCTAACATGATATGAATCAACTAGGGAGATGGCTCAGCAGGTTAAGGTACTTGCCACCAAGCCTGATAACCTGAGTTCCATCCCAGGATCCATATTGTGGAAGAAAGAACTAACTCCTGAAAGTTGTGGTCAACATGACTATATGTATGTATGTGTGGGAAAGGGACACACAAAAGTAATTATTAAAAATTTTAAGAAAAATAAAGTAAAATATATATATGATAATAAAGTGATAAATATCATACAGATATCTATATAGATATATATTATATATAAATATATGTGTATAGATATAAATATATATTATATATAAGTATATGTATCTATATAGATAATATACCTAAAATGCCAGCAGATGTACCAAAGATTAATTCAGAAAAAGCAAAACTCCATACAACTAACTTTCTTCTATACATTCAGACAAAAGGGAATGATAAACCACAATAGAGAATTTCTCTTTTACCTTTGGGAGGAAATATTCACCTAGACTTGATTCTGCTGTAATTAATACCTCTGACAAACATATAGGTAGTCACTTACGGTCACTAAGCAAAGAAGAAGTTTCAGACATAAACTCTTCAAGCTTTCAGAACCTTCCGCACAAAGTAATGAATCCAAACTCTCCATCAAGTTCTGGGAAAAAGAACCATGAAGCATTAGCACATCAAGTAACACATCTACATCCCTTCTTCACCCCCTGCATGTTATGTTACGCAGGATCAAGTGAATTGTAGGGAATCAGCCATAACATTTCCCTAGTCTAGGCCTTGCAAAATCAAAGAAAAACTTCAAAGTCTAGCTACTTGGGGGAAGTGTTACGCACAACTGCAGAGAACAATAAAGAATTCAAAAGAATTCACTCTTGTACTGCATGAATGCTTAAAGCTTTATACACACATAAACTTTAAGTTCAGAACAATGAAGTAATTTTAAAAAGAGAAACTTAATGGTTTAATAAATGGTTACATAAAATTCATTACTTGTTAATGAAAGTGCAACATGCAGGCACACTGAACAAGTGACAGACACAATTATCAATTCACTATTGAGCATCAATGGCCATCTGAGCAATCCAACAAAGCTAGCTGGGTTTATTAGGATCAACTATGGTTGACAATGTGATGGGAATTTGATGCTTGCACTAAAAAAATATCTTTTAGACATAAGCTAATCAAAAGATAAAAACCTTCATACTATGATAGAGAAAGGAAGAAAAAATATTCTACATTAAATAAGAGAAAAGAATTCAAGGCTAGAGAAATAGCTCAGTGATTAAGTGCACTTGCTCTTATAGAAAACCTGGGTTTTTTGGTTCCCAGCACCCACATGGTGGATGCTAGATCTAACTCCAGTTCCAGGATGCAGCACCCTCTTCTGGCCCTGAGAGCAACTGGTATGTATGTGCATGGTGTGCATACGTGCATGCAGGCAACAAAAAAAACCCTCATACATATAAAAGAAATAAATACATCTTTTTTTAAAAGCACATAACTAAGGATTCAGTATGTTCAAATTTCAAAATGAAGATTCAAAGTAAGAATTTTTAGCCAGGTGTGGTGGCACATGCCTTTGATCCCAGCACTCAGGGAAGCAGAGGCAGCCAGGTCACTGTGAGTTCAAGGCCAGCATGGTCTACAAAGTGAGTCCAAGACAGCCAAGGCTACACAAAGAAACCCTGTCTCAAAAGGAAAAAAAGAAAAAAGATGTTTAATATGAATGTGGTAATATACTCCTTTAATCACAGCACTGTGAGGCACAGGCAGAAGGAGCTCTGTCTAAAATACATATGGACTTAGTGAGTTTTAGGACAACCAAGACTACAAAATATGAAGACCCTGTCTCAAAAGAAATGAAAAGAAGATGCTTCAGTTAAACTGAGCATCTGAGTATCTGCCCTTTGCTTTCGGGGTAAGACCTGGAAACCTACTTTCAACAGACTTTAAAGGGAAAGACAAAAGAAAGCAGCTTCAAGTCTGACCTACACACATTCCACATGGCATGCCTATGCACACACACAAATAAATAAATGTAACAAAGGAGTTTTTTTATTAAAAAAAGTAATAACAAGATACCTAATATTGACCCCTAGCCTCAAGACACACACAAGCACACACTAGAAAAATACAGGCTTAGCACAGCGGTACACACCTGTAATCCCGGCACTAGGTAGGCAAAACAGGAAGATCCTGTGAACCAGCTAATCTAGCCAAACTGACAAGCTTCAAGGCTCAGTGAAAAGCCTTGTCTCAAAAAAATAAGGGGGAATTCAATAGAACACACTCAATGTTGATCTTTGGCCTCTACATGCACCCCGACCCAAACACATACACATATATGTCCCTCCCCCTCTCTGTCTCTCTGTCTCTCTGTCTCTCTCTCTCTCACACACACACACACACACACACACACTTTTTTGAGGAGGAAAGGGACACCAGATAGACTGTAGACTGCTCATCGTACTTAAGGAGGGGCTGGAAGAGTGCTTGTTGACAGAATGCTTGTCTGGCTTTTACAAGGCCCTGGGTTCAATCCTAAATATAAATCCAGCATATGTCTATAATCCCAGCACTCAGGATGATCATAATTTTTCTTTGGGGGGCAATTAAAACTGTTTTTTTTTTAATTAATGGTGGTGATATTTATTCAATTTATGAATCAATTATACAATATATGAATCATTAAAGTGTTAACAAATAAAAATAGATAATAAATAAATAATAAATAATAGTGTCTTGGTGTTAAAGCCTTATCTATCATGCACCATGCATGAAACATTAGGTTCAATCCCCAATGTGGGATGGACGCAGGGAAGAGAAGGAGAAGCAGAATTAAAAAAAAAAAGTTTCAAACAGTAGATATAAAAATTCAAGCCTGCCAGGTGTGGTGGCACATGCCTTTAATCACAGCACTTCGGAGGCAGAGGCAGGGGGATCTGTGAGTTCAAGGCCAGCCTGATCTACAGAGCAAGTTCCAGGATAAACAGGGCTACACAGAGAAACCCTGTCTGAAAAAAAAAAAAAAAATTCAAGCCAGGTGGTTGTGGCACACACCTTTAATCCCAGCACATGGGAGGCAGAAACAGATAGATCTCTGTGAACTAAAGGCCAGCCTAGTCAACATCTGTTTCTAAAAACAAACAAACAAAAATCAAAGGGCATAGGGCTAAAGAAATGGCTCAGCAGTTAGCAGCACTGGCTGCTCTTACAGAGGACCCAGGTTGGGACTCCAGAACTCACATGATGGTTAACAAACATCCCTAACTCCAGATCCACTTTCTCTGACTTCCAAGGACATCAATCATACACACAGGCAGGCAAAACACTCACACATAGCATAATGAATAAATCTAATTTTAAAAAATCCAAAGGATAACAAATAAAGAAAGGCAGTAACAATCCCCAAGACTCACATGGTGGAAGAAGAGAACCAACTTCTGAACTATTCCATATACGTACAAGTGTGCAAATAAATAAATAAATTAATTAATTAATTCAATTCAAAGAGTTGAAAAGATGGCTCAGCAGTTAAGAACATTGGCTGCTCTTCCAAAGGTTCACAGTTCAATTCCCAGCAAGAACATGGTGGCTCACAACCATCTACAATAGGATCTGATGCCCTCTTCTGTCATGTAAACATACATGCAAACAGAGCAAGCACTCATATACATTAAATAAATAAATAAATAAATAAATAAATAAATAAATGATATTTCTTTTTTATGTTTTAATTCAAGCCAAGCATGGTGACATGTGACAATAGCCCTTGCCTACTCAAGAGGCTGAAGCAGAAGAATTATTTGAACCCACAGGTTCAAGAGCAGCCTAGGCAACATAACCAGACCTATCTCAAAAAGAAAAACTGGTGTAGGCATGGTGCTGTACACCTGTAATCCCAACAGCTGGACGATGGAAAGAAAAAAATCAAGACTTTAATATTCTGTTTTCTCAAGCGGCAAGAAAGGGAACAAAGTCTGAAACATGGCAGATGACAAAGGTCAACAGCAAACTGCTAACACCAAGAGAAGCGCTGGGGTCTCCTCAGGCTCAGCCTGAGTGAACAAACTGATGTGAATAAGAGGAATGGTCAAGAACTTCAGTGCAGACTGTATACTTGTGACAAACATTTAATATGACACTTGGAAACGTAGAGGAAGCTGGCCTACTATAGAAACTGAGGAAAAAATACAGAAATCAGAAAACAGTATGCTCCAATGTTCTTTGCCCAGACAGCGTCTTCTCAGTTGTCCCATTAAGAGTTGGCTGAAACAACTTATTCTGTGTAGAAAATTGGAGACTTTGTATAATTGTCTCTTCAAATGTACAAGACATTCAAAGAAAGACGCTTACATCCATTTTTATAGGTGATAAGTGACCTGCGGAAGGTCAGCAAGATGGCTCAGCAGGTAAAGTTGCTTGCCATGAGGGCCTAATGAGCTGAGTCAGACTCTGACCTGCACGTGTGCACCATGGTGTGTGTGTGCTCACAAACACTATATATGCATGAACACAATGATTTTTTCCAGTGGCTACAAGATTACCCATCTGTAAGTTACTCACAACTTCTTAAGCTCAGTGGCACTTCTACTTTTTTCATTCCTCTAGTAAGCAATTCTCAGACACTTTTTCAAGAGTTGTGCAGTTGTCCCTGATTACGTTTCTTTAAATTAAACTTCACCTTTCTTCTTTTAACTTGAGAGAGCCTGAAAACATGGCTTTGTGTTTAAAAACATTTACTGCTTTTGCAGAGAATCCATGATCGGTTCCCAACACCCACCATTAGACACGAAACAATTCATAACTCCGATTCCAAAGACTCCAATACCTCTTAGGCACCAAGCATGCATAAGGTACACTGACTCACACACAGGCAAAACACTCACACACATAAAATAAATAAACCTAAAAAAATAGAAAAAAATTATTTTTAGAAAAGTTCCATTGTCTGTAAAGTAAGTCTGAAGCCAGCTTCAGCTACATAAGACCCTGCATCAAATATCCAAAAGAAAACAAGAATTCTGGGCAGCAGAGAACTTGCCTTCCAAGCAGAATACCATGGACTCATTACCAGCACCATGAAATAGCTGATCTTATAACTTTTCATAGTTTATCTGAGCTCACAAATATCATATAAAGCTGGGCATGATGGTTCACACCTTTAAACCCAGCTCGCAGGAGGCAGAGGCAGAGGTAGGTTGGCTTCTTGAGTTTGAACCAGGCTGGTCTACATAGTAAGTTCAGGAACAGCCAGGGCTTTGTAAAGACCCTACCTCAAAAAAAGAAAACCGAAAAATCTGAATATAAATCTTGTAGGACGTCTTCCTGCAGGTTGTGTTCACAAACAGCTGTCAAAGAGCTCTTCACAGCCACATGCACATCTTATGCCTCACCTTCATGCACAGCTCCGCTTTGTCGAAGCCCATGAGCATGTTGATAATGTCAAATCCAGATGTAGATTTATTCTTCTGGTGGACGCCACGAATAAGTGCACACAAGGTCTGCAGAAATGAAACAAAGAATTCTTTCTATACAGAAAGTCTCAAAAATAGGAGTACACTGACTATATAGCCTCTTAATGCAACTACATCTTGACAAATCTGAGTTTAAAAACAGCCTAAGTGTTAACATATGAGAAATCCAAAAATTAAGAAACAGCAGCATAGCCAGGCATGGTGGTGCACCCTGTAATCCAAGCACTCAGGGAGGCAGAGGCAGGCTGATTTGTGTGGTTTGAGGTCAGCCTGGTCTACAAAGTGAATCCAGGATGGCCAAGGTTACACAGAGAAGCCCTGTCTTGAAAATAATAATAACAATAAGTAAACAGCAGCACACCTGTAATCCCAGTACTGGGGAAATGGAGGCAGAAGAATCAGAAATTCAAGGTGAAGGTCAGAGAGGTAGCCCAGAAGGTAAAGGTACTTGCTACCGAATCTGACAAAAGAACCAACTCCTACAAGTTGTTCTCTGACCCTACAGGTGCCCATGTATGAATGAACACACACACACATGTGCTGAGACTTTTAGTGTCTTTAAAAGCGCAGTTCTATTATGTAAACTTGTTTTGTTTTAACATGTGCGAGATATGCGGCTGCCTGAGACTGTCCACAGCAGCAGACTATGCCTTGAGCATGCTCTGGCAGTGGTGTGATTCTGCCAGCTGAAGATAGTTTAATTCTGAGGACTCTAGTGAGGGCATAAAAAGACCAGAGCCCCATGAGAGGGAGTATGGCTCTTCCTCCTCCTGCTGCTGCTGGTTTGTCAAGTGGTCATGAGAAAAGAGACAAGAAGAAGAAATTGGAGATATCCTGAGGAGGTGAAGATTGGACTTACCCCAAGGAACTCAACGCCCCTAATCAGCAAAAATAATATAAAAATATCTCAACGGCCCCTCTTCCCCATCAGCCTTCTATATCTCCTAACTGGTGTTGGGGTGTTGAAAGGGACTGGGGTAAAGTGAAAGGTATAAGAACCCAAATAAAATAGATTAAAAAAAAAAAAAAAAGGCCAGCACAGACACACAGGCACGAGGATTGATGGGGCTTTCTGGTCACCTGCTTAGCTAAAAAATGGTGAGTTCTAGGTCCAGTGATCCTGACTCCAGGGGATAGAGCAGACAGTAATAAAGATATACCACTTCCACCTCTGGAGAAGAAAAAAAAAAAGTGAGGAGCTGGGAAAGTGCTTGTCCTAAAGCCTGCTGACCTGACCTTAGTCCCTGGAACCAGGTACAAGGGGAAGCAAAGAGGCACTGTCACACAGCTGTTCTCTAGTCTCTACAGGAACACTGCAGCGTGCACACGCCCCACACATTACACACAGTACATACAGGTTTGGTTTTATTTTGTTTTTGTTTGCATTGAGACCAGATCTCACTACAAAGCTGTGGCTGGCCTGGAACTCCTTATGTAGATCAAGCTGACCTCCAACTCACAGAAATGCACCTGCCTCTGCCTCCCCGGTGCTAAGATTAAAAGGTATATACCACCAAACCTGTCTCCACAATAAAAAAAATTTTTTAGAGATTTGTTTTTTAGTTTATGTGTATGGATGCTTTGCCTGCGTGTATGTCTCTAAAACCACTATGTAAGAAGGCCAGAAATGACTGTTGAAGTCTCTGCTGGAGTTAGGTAAATGAACCCAGGTTCTATGCAAGAGCAACAAGTGTTATTAATTGCTAAGCAATCTCTCCAACCTCCCTTAAGTAATTTTTTTAATTAAAAAAAATGAAAATAACAAAGTACAAAGTAATTGGGGAAGATACTCAGGGTCCCCTTCTGTCTGTAACTCTAAGATCTGACACCCTCACACAGACAAACATGCAGGCAAAACACCAATGCACATAAAATAAAAATAAATTAATTTTAAAAATAAAATAAAAATTAATAAAACAGGAAAATGGATAACATGACAGATGTTTTATTTTGTTAAAAATTAAAAAGAAACTCAAACGAAACCTGACACCTAAAGGCAATTCTAGGTTCCTCAGCTTCTAACAGATGAGCTGTAACTCCATCTGTTAAACAGGACTTCCCCAGTCTCCCAGCTTATACCTGCAATGCATTGACAACTCGAATCGGATGCTCTTCTCCTAGAGCCTGGATACAGTGTTGAAATAAACAATTAATATTGTCCTTGATCTTCATTAACTCCTCACCATCCAAAGACTCCAGCTTGCCTTCCAGGTACTCTAAGTTCACCTGCCAGAGAAAAGGAAGGGCTGAGCAGACTTCAAGCACAGCACTTAAGAGCACAAGACAGCCTTACCTAGCAGACAACCCCACCGTGCCACCCACGCTTACCTTCATGAGGAAGAGCTCCTCCCAGAACCGAGGACTACACTTACTGGGGTCCTCCGTCTAAAATCAGAAAATAAACATGTTCAACGTCATTGCCAACTCAAAAAGCATCAAAAATACTGTCAACTTTACTTGTCATATTCAACTTTTAAAATGTTTTCTTATCTTAAACTACAATAATAGAGAAAGAGAACAAAGTTTTCTGTAGGCACTGTGTATGAGTACATATTCTCTACACCATTAAACAACGGCTCAGAAATTAAATACATCTCTCTCTCTCTTTCTCTCTTTTTTTTTCTAGACAGGGTTTCTCTGTGTAGCCCTGGCTGTCCTGGACTCACTCTGTAAACCAGGCTGGCCTCAAACTCAGAGAGAGAAATCCACCTGCCTCTGCCTCCTCGAGTACTGGCATCACAGATATGTGCCACTGTACCTGGCTTTAAATACTTCTCTTTTAGATAAATAAGAACAAAAAGTTAGGCCAGCTAGGTATGAAAGCACACATCTTTAATTCCAGCACTTAGGAGCCAGAGGCAGGTAGATCTCTTGTGAGTTCAAGGTCAGCCTGGTCTACACAGCAAGTTCCAGAACAGCAAGGAATACTGGACAGAAAGATCTTGTCTCAAAAACAAAAAAGAAAAGAAAAACGGGGGTTGCGGGGAGGCTAGAAAGAACATAGGCTATCCTTCCAGATGACCTGGGTTAAATTCCCAGCATCCATATGGCAGCTAAGAAAAGTCTGTAACTTCAGTTCCAGGAAATCCAAACACCCTCTTCTGGCCTCCTCATGTACTGTACACACATAGTACACAGATATACACATAGACAAAATGCACACAAACATAAAGCAAAAACAAATCTTTAAAATAAAAGTACACACATACACACACCCTCCATCACCTCAGCTACATAACAAGGCTAGCCTGCGAGACCCTATCACAAAATAAGAAATAGTCCTAACATGATTCTACTATCTAAAACACACCTATTTTATTTTCTTTGTATAGCCACTTGTACTGACCAGGGCAACTGTATTATTTTTCATGGTAGTACAGGTGTGTAATCTGAGAGCCCAGGATGCTGAGATGGGACTATCATTAAGTCCCAAGCCAGACTAACAAGATCCTATTAAAAAAAAAAAAAAAAAAGCCCAATTCTGTTTCTAAGGATTGCCAATAATTACAATAATTAGCACTGTTTTAACTGAGTTCATTATTTTGAGTGTGGCAAAGCTGAAAGAATAAAACCTCTGAAGTCAGTTACAAGTCAAACTAGACTCTGTTATGAACACGTTACTTCATCTATTAAATCAGAGTACTACGGCCAGCAACATGGCTCAGCAGGTAAAGGCCCTTGCCATGAAGCCTGACAACATGAGTTCGATCCCTCAGAACCACATGATGGGAAGAGAAAACCTCCACCCACCCCATAAAGTAAATAAGTAAATGTATAAAGTTTTTAATTGCTTTTTGGTTTGGTTTTGTTTTCTGAGAAAGGGTTTCTCTATTTAGCCCCAGCTGTCCTGAAACTCACTCTGTAGACCAGGCTGACCTTGAACTCAGAGATCCACCTGCCTCTGCCTCCCAGGTGCTAGCCTTAAAAATTGTTTTTTAATTAAGGTATTATCAGCACCAATAAAGATTTGTCAGGATTAAAATAATTGTGTTTAGGAACATATCTGGAAAAGTACCAGGCATACAACAGAAACTCAATGTATGATCTTTATAGGTGTTATTCTAATTTACATTATTTTATTTTATTTATTTCAACTTATTCACTTTGTATTCCCGCTACAGGCCCCTCCCTTGTCTCCTTCCAGTACCACCCACCCTCCCTCTTCTCCCACTATGCCCTTTCTGTAGTCCCCTGATAAGGGAGGACCTCCTCCCCTTCTATCTGACCCTAGCCTATCGTCTAATTTACATTTGCAGACTGAAATAAATCTACAAATCCAATTCCTAATAATTCTGTAATCACCCCATACAACTAGAGAATGAGATTGTCTATTTATTGTGTCTATCAACAACTTGAGCTAGAATGTAACAATGCATCTTTTTTAAATATCTGAAATTGAAACTATAGAATTCAAGGTACAAAAGGTAATTCATAGGACAGCTATCTTTAAAAAGGGCCTTTAAATTACTTAAGGAAAAGAAAGAAAACTGGGTGCGGGAGCACAAGCCTGTAATCCCAGCACTTGGGGAGGGAGAAGCAGGTGGATCTCTGTGAGTTTCAAGGCCAGCCTGGTCCACAAAGCAAGTCCAGGACAATTAACGCTACCCAGAGAAACCCTGTCTCGAAAAACCAAAAAAAAAAAAAAGAAAAAAGAAAGAAATGCTCTGTAATTAAAACCATTTCATGTTCTTCCAGAGGATCAGGTTTGATTCCAAGCACCAACATCAGGTGGCTCTCAACCACATAACACTAGCTCCAAGGTCTCTTGATTCCCTCTTCTGACCTTTCCGAACACATATACACACCTCTCTCTCTCTCTCTCTCTCTTTTTTTTTCAAGACAAGGTTTCTCTGTGTAGCCTTGGCTCTGCTGGAACTCACTCTGTAGACCACGCTGACCTAGAATCTTAAGAGATCCACCTGCCTCTGCCTCCCAAGTGCTGGGATTAATGGCATGCACCACCACCACCCAGCTCAGAAACCTTTAAAAAAAAACACTGGGCCACTAGGCTAACTCAGCCAATAAAGGTTAATGCCTTGAAAGCCTGATGACTCAAGTTCTATCCCTGGGACTCACACAAAGCTGAAAAGACAGAACCTACTCTACTCCATAGTCTTGTCCTCTGACCTCCACATATACTCCATGGAAATTATGAATAAAAATAATATCTTTCCTAAAGGTATTTGTGGAGCTGAAATGGTATCGAAGAGGTTAATGGCAATTGTTACTCTTTCAGAGGACCAAGGTTTAATTCCCAGCATCATACAGCAGCTCACAACTATCCACAATTCCAGTTACAAGGTATCTGATGCTCTCTAACAACCATGAGCACCAGACACAAATGTGGAAGATATACATATATGTATGCAAAATTCTCATTTACATAAAATAAAATTTTTAAAATATAAAATATATAAAGATAGACAGATTGCAATTGAGATTTTGGTTTCTTTAAAAACTCAGTTATGTTATGTAAATATGTTTTTGTTTTCATCTCAAGTGTGGGCTTCCAGTTTTCGCTTTAGTTTGTCCACAGCTGATAAACTGCCTCCTGTGGGGCGTGGCCTTTGCCAGCTGGTAACAGCCTCATAGTGCTGCACAGAGAGGGTCGTGGTCTAGGACTCTGAGGAATATCAATAGGAGAGCCTGGAGAGAGAAAGTATGGCCTGTGATGAGTAGCACTTTGGAGAGACCAGAGACGGATGGCAGGGTGGCTTAGAGACAGGCATTTCAATGCAGCAGCCTGAGACTGCTTGCTGTGTTTACCATTGACGGAGAATTGCCCCAAAAGAAACCACAGGTTCGAAACAACTGGGAGAAGTAAAGGAGTGTGTGGCCCCTCTCCCCATTAACCTCTCCTACCTAGGGTTGGAAGGTTAGAAGGAAGAGGCTTTAAGGAACCCCAAATAAAAAAGTTTTAAAACAAGTGCAACAATAGATAAAAAGAAATTCCCAGCCGGGCAGTGGTGACACACACCTTTAATCCCAGCACTCTGACAGGCAGAGGCAGGCAGATCTCTATGAGTTGGAGGCTAGCCTGGTCTACAAAGCTGGAATCCAGGACAGCCAAGGCTACACAAAGAAACCTTGTCTCAGAAAAAAAAAAAGAAAGACTAGTAATACCTTTTAATAATCAATACACAATCATAAATCTACTATGAGAGCTAGCTCATATTTAGTCCTTGAGCTCTCCTGCTGGTCTTGAACTTACTATGCAGCAGAGGATAATCTTGAACTTCTGATCCTTCTACTTCAGAAGTAGAAGGAGGCATCTGTATGTATATAATGTGCATACATGTAAGCATATTCACATGTACAGGGGATTACAAGTTTTCTAGCATGTGAGAATGTGCCTGTGAAGGTCAAAGGCAGATGTCAGGTAGGTGTCTTTTCAATCACTCTACTTACTGAGGCAGGGTCTTCAGTCCAGGGATCACTGACTTGGCTAGTCCAGCTGGCAATCTTGCCCAGGAGATGCCCTGTCTCTGTCTGTGAGCACTAGGATAAGAGATGGGCTGTCCTACCCATTCAGATTTTTACATGGGTGCTGGGGATCTGATCTCTGGTCCTCTTAAGTACACAGCAAGCAGTATATTCACTGAGCCATGTCTCTAGGCCTAGTAATATTGTTTCTGATTAAGATTATATGGGAGAGCTGGAGGGCTCAGCAGTTAAGAGTGCTGGCTGATCTTCCAGAGGACCTGGGTTCATTTCCCAGCACCCACATGGCAGCTCGCAACTATCTATAACTTCAGTTCCAGAGGACTCTCATACAAACACACAAGTAAGCAAAGCACCAACGCACATAAAACAATATTAAATAAATTTTATTTAAAAAAGATTATTTGGACTAAAAAAACTCAAGTGTCAAGGTCAGGTGTGGTAGTTCATGCCTATAACTGCAGCAGTCAAGAGGATGTGGCAGGATGATCATTGTAAGTTTGAGGACAACTTGTTCTACATAGTGAGTTCCAAGCCAGCCTGAACTCTTGTCTAAAAACAAAGGGCAAGCCAGATGACTCTAAGTAAAAGAACCAAGCCTAATGACTCAAGTTCAGTCCTCAGAACCTAAACAGTGGAAGGACAGATTCCACACATGCATCATGGCTTGTGTTTTCCTGCATTCTTGCTCAAGCACATACATGTATACACACCAGAGTGAAAAACAGATAAACACAAACGTTAAATTTTTTTAAAGAAACAAAGAGCAGGGCGTTGTGGTGCATGCCTGTAATCACAGCACTCAGGGAAGCAGAGGCAGGTGATCTCTATGAGTTTGAGGCCAGCCTACTCTACAAAGTGAGTCCAGGACAGCCAAGGCTACACAGAGAAATCCTGTCTAGAAAAACCAAAAAGAAAAAAGAAAAACAACAACAACAAAAGCAAAGAGTATAACGTAGTTGTGCAATATAACAGGACCCCAGGCCTTACCATGAATATCTCATCATACATCAGTACCACTTTTTCTTTTAGTGGTTTCTTTGAGGCTGAAGATTTCCGGAGCAGGCCTCCCCGTTTCTCTACTTGTGCCATGGCTAGAGAAGCTGTGGGTTAGGATGAGACACATTTAGAACAGTGAAAGTATAGTATCATAATAGAAAAAAATGTCACGATGCATTTGTTCAAACCTACAGAACATTCAGCACCAAGAATATACCTAATACAAACATGGACCCCAGTGGTAATGATGTTCAAATCAATGCAGATTCACCAACTGTAGCAAATACATAATGGGACAAGCTGTGCACTCGCCGAATCAGAATGTATGGACGGACCACCATCACTTTCCTCTCCATTTTGCTATGAACCAAAAACGCCTCTAAAAACAAGATGCATTTGAAAAACAAAAGCAGGGCATCGGTAGCACACACCTGTAATCTGGAAGGTGGGAGAGAGGCAAAAGGATTAAAGGTTCAAGGTCTCCAGGTCACACTAACTCCCCTTTCTTTCATATGATTCCCTGCACTTTGCCGAAGGTTTGGTTATGAGTCTCAGCATCTGCTTTGATACACTGCTAGGTAGAGTCTTTCAGAGGCCCTCTGTGGTAGGCTCCTGTCCTGTTACTTGTTTTCTCCTACTTCCAATGTCCATCCCATTTGTCATTCTAAGTGAGGACTGATCATCTTACCCCAGGTCCTCTTTCTTGTTTATCTTCTTTAGGTGTACAGATTTTAGTATGTTTATCCTATCTTATAGGTCTAGTATATCAGGACACAGGGATCTTCTATGAGACTGTTTCTCCAATCAAGGACCATGTATGCATATAACCTAGAACTCCTGCTCAGATGTAGCCCATGGTAGCCCAAGGTAGCTCAGTATCCAAGTGGGTACCCTAGTAAGAGGAACAAGGACTATTTCTGACATGAACTCAATGGCTGGCTCTTTGACCTCTCCCCAACCCCTGAGGAAGGAGCAGCCTTGCTAGGCCACAGAGAAGGACACTGAAGCCAGTCCTGAAGATACCTGATAAGCTAGGGTCAGATGGAAGGGGAGGAGGATCTCCCCTATCAGTGGATTTGGAAAGGGGCAGGGAGGAGATGAGAGAGGGAGGGTGGGATTGAGAGGGAATGAAGGAGGGGGCTACGGCTGGGATACAAAGGAAATAACCTGTGGTTAACATTAAAAAAAAAAATTATAAAAAAAAAAAGGTTCAAGGTCAGCCTCACCTACATGAAACCCTGTCTTTAAAAATAGAAGGAAGAAATGGAGGGAGGGAAGGAGGAAAAGCAGGCAGGCAAGGTCAGTGCCAGAATACTTTAGGATAATAAGAATCTACTGAAATATCTCTCAATGGGAATCATTTTAGGAAGAAGAAATGATAAATAACCATTACAGATTTTACACATTAATTACCCCTTCCCCAGACCAAGTAATATCAAGACTTAAAATATTACTTGTCTTATAAAACAATACTTTTTAAATCCTTAAAAATGTGCGTGAGTAAAGCTTTAAGCTGACCTAAAACCAAATAGGAAAGTGTAACTAGCTCCGTCTATAAGTCCGGCCACATATTTGAGGATGAAGGAAGCAAGGGTGCAAAGCGCACACTGCCCACAGACAGATGGCGAAGCTAAATTTCAAATATTGATCGAGCTGAGGACCATTATGGCAGGAAGTGTACTACAGGCTGACATGCTCCATCGATTTCCCCCAAGTAAGCAGGTCCTCATCACTGCAAAGCACTTGGCCTTCACTGCCTCATAAATCACACTGCACTTGACTGTCTTCAGGAATCCCTCTGAAAAGAGACTATAGGCAGAAAACAGCAGTTATCAAGCCAAAAATAAATCTAATTTCAAAATAATAATATACTACTTCAAACTTAACTATATATATTTATAATACTATTGTAGATCAAATTTCAAGCTATTTTTTGGTTCTATGTAAAAGCAGTTCTAGAATCATGCCCAAGTCTCCAAGTCTTACTTCAAGGAACTTTCATTTTTTTTTTCAACTGAGACTTGAAATCCCATGGGTCTCCACTATAGATTTATACACATTCCCTCAGCTCCCTGTCTTATTTTTTATTAGCCAAATTCCCTCTCTCTTACATCCTGAGCTCTGTGTATGAAATCTAAATGGCAAGCAGGAGGATACTAGAGAAAAGCCTGATTTTACTTCTACATAAATCCAAAGACACAGAACTAATTCTGTAAAACGAATTTTGAAAATATGCACTCCCTCTCAAATCAAAACCAAAATTCTACTTAAATAAGGGATACACCCAACAGTACAAAAGATTGTACCTTAGATATCATCTTGCCCTATTACATCGGCCAAAAAGGGGATTCCCACCTCTGACGGTATACGCCAGACACAGGTAACCTCTCCAGGCAGGTATCAAGCACCTTTAGCAGAAGGACTCCATCGTACACTTCTCTTAAAAACAGTTGGTTTGTGGGAAATGCTCAGCGAAGGCGGCTTACCGATTCTGAAGTAAACAGAAAAACTTCTCAAAAGCCATCAGTCTGGTCACACATGGTGGTGCACACTTGTAATACAGTGCAGCCTGGAATAGATCTAGGAAGTTCCAGGCTAGCCTAAACTTCACAGGAAGATTCTGTCCCAAAATCCTGGCCAGATAGGCAAGGGATATGGCTCTGCAAAGGCACTTGCTGCCAAGCCTGATGACCTCCTCAGGGACCCAAACTGTCTTCTGACTCCAGCACATATACCATGTGTCACCTGCACCCACACAAATAAATGAATGTAATAAAAAAAATTACGCTTTGACCAGATGTGACAGCTTGCACCTGTAATCCTCTACCTCAGAGGCTGATGCAGAAGGATTGTTAACAGTTCAAGGCTGGGGCTGGCTCATCAGGTAACCGTGGCTGCTCCTCCAAGTACCCAGGGTTCAATTCCCAGCACCCACAAAGCAGCTCACAACTATCTATTAACTCTGGTTCTAGGGACTATGATGGCATCTTCTGGCCTCTGTAGGCTCCAAGCACACACTCAGTACATAGGCATACATTCAAGCAAAGCGCCCATACACCAAAAAATAAATCTTAAAATTCAAGCTGAGCATGGTGGCACATAGCTTTAATCCCAGCACTTGGGGATGCAGAGGCAGGCAGATCTCTGTGAGTTCAAGTTCAGCCTGGTCTACAAAATGAGTCCAGGACAGCCAAGGCTACACAGAAAGAGACTGTCTCGAAAAAAAAAAAAATTAGAAATGAAAATTCAAAGCCAGCTTGAAGTATAAAATGTGATGCTGTCTCAACAAACAAAATAAAATAAATTCCCAGGCACAGCGATATACGTTCGAAATTACAACACTAGAGAGATAGAGATTGAAAAATCAAGAATTCACGATCACTCTCAGCAACAAAGCAAGCTAAAGGCCAGCTGGGCATACGCAGGTTCTGAGTTTAATAGTACCAACAACAATAAAAAGTCCTAGGCCAGACCTAAAGTTTTAGTTAAGACTTATCTATTATTTTACTAAGCTTTCAAGTTCTATTATAATCTAGAGAAAACTGAGAAGAAAATAAAATCAGAAGACTCAGACAATTTCATTCTATTGATCACGGCTTTGTCTTAAAGCATGAAATATACTTCGTGGTCAAAACAGTCCTGTGTGACTTAAACAGGTTGTCAAGAAGAGGACCTCCTTATCTGGGGAAAATAAACTGGAAATCAAGAGAGCCCTAGCTAAATAAATCATAAGCAATGCAATCCTACTTGCAGTGGCTATAGATCTCATATGTGCTCAGCGTCAACAAGCCGATTGGCTGAACTTCCAGAACCACAAGTTCCCAAGATGTACAAAGCATGTTTACAAACATTTCCCTAGGAGAATCTGTAATTGCATTACAGCTAATCAATGTCCACTCCAAATCTCATAAACTCTCTATTTCAGGATCAATACTTTCTAATAAGCAAAAGGGAACAGAAGAGGATGGGAGAAAATAATAATTCCAATCCAAACTACCAAATTTCCAACGAAATGATTTTCATCATTCTCCTTGCATTTGAAATGAGAAAGAACACAGTCAAAGGTCTCAACCCAGCAGTCTGTCATCATCACAGATAGCTGGATTTGCCACCCAAAATGCCAGAAAAGTAACTTGAAACTGAGAACATAAAACCTCTTCCTACCAGCACTCCCACCCATGGAATTCACAAATAAGGGTTTCTGGGGTGGGAAGCTATAAGAATGTAAAATGCTCATTTTTCTTTGGGCCTCAGAAATTAAAATTAAACTTGAAATAATGTATCTTGGGGCCAGAGAGATGGCTTGGCAGTTAGGAGCACTGGCTGCTCTTCCAGAGGATACTCATTCAATACCCAGCACCCACATGGCAGTTCACAACTGTCTGTAACTCCAGGCTCAAAGGATCCTAGGCCCTCTTCTGGGCTCCTTAGGCACCAGGCTCACACATGGTACATAAAAATACACAAAGGTAAGTCAAACAGAATTTTGAGGGGAGGGGTTCAAGACAGGATTTTTCTTTGTAACAATCCTGGTTGTCCTGGACTTGATTTGTAGACAAGGATGGCCTCCAAACCCGGCGATCCACCTGCCTCTAGCTCCTGAGTGCCAGGATGAAGGCTGGTGCCACCACACCCAGCCGATTGATAGAAAATTTTAAATTGAAAGAAGAAAAAACAAAAAACAGTATCTTGGGGCCAGAGATATGACTTAGTTGGTAGAAGGCATCAGGTTCCAAGTGACCTCAAGGCCAACCCAGACTACAAATAACCCAATTAAAACCCAATCCTACCACCACCATCACAAAAACAAAATTCAGCTGAAGAAAAAAAAAAACCTACTATAACCAATTGTGAAGGAAAGTGTCCTTAAAGACCTCAATAACAGTGGTTACAACAAAAAAGTTAAAGCAAAATCTTTTAAAGTGAGAAACTTTTAAAGTAGAACTGTAGCTTAGTGGCAGAATATTTGCCTTGCCTGGCATGTGTGAGGCCCTGGGTTCAATTCCTAGCACCACAAACAAAGTAAAAGAAGATAGATAGATAGATAGATAGATAGATAGATAGATAGATAGATAGATAGATAGATAAATAGATAGATAGATAG